AAAATATCTATAGCGTGGATAACCATTAAAAACTGAAACAGTGTGGGGGCTAAATTCTTAAGAAATTTTTTGGTGCATTTTCCATATTTTATGCAAGGAGAATTGGGATTTTAAATTCTACATGGTCGATGTATCATGCATGATATTATAATTTCATGAAGTTCAGGATCAACAGCTGGGTGTGGAATTTCTGCTGATATTAAACTGTCAATATCTTCTGCTGTTTCTAGCTTATCTTCATTTACAAAGTGCAATAAAATATGTACATGTGGCACACCACGCTTTTTGAAACTTAATAACCTGCACATAATTTACAACTTTGCCTAAGACTCCATGCTTGAAAATATCTTCTAAAAAAAATTCAAGTTTTAATTTAAATACCCGACAAACTAAATCAGCTCTGTCATTAGCAGTTTGGCCAGGGTTTAAATTTTCTACTATTTCTCTCCATTTTGGATTGCAGGTAAAAGTAATGAATAGATCTGGTTTCCATATTTCTTTATGACTGCCATTGCATCTTCAAAGTTTTCTTTTTGTGCTCTTGGACTACCAACATATGAAGAAGGCAATATAACAACGCGGCCTGGTCTTACATTAAGATCATTAGCACAATTAATTACATGTTTATGCAATGCATCTTATTGTTCACTTCTAAATTTGTTTTGGTTATTTCTAATAAAAGCAAGGCGCTGTTCCTCAACTTTAAAATATGCATCAACAACAATTTGCTGAAAAAGTTTCTTACCATAGAATATAGGACTAAAAGTTTGTCTAACCGCAAGCCTATAACTATAATAGAGACAAAGTAACATGGTTTCTAACACGGATTGCGCGGTCAGGGTTATGTTCCAGTTAATTGTGCTATCCAGCATCAGCTCTCGGGAAAAATATTGAATATACCATAGGATCTAAATTTGCAGATATAGACAAAATTGTTTTTAAAAGCTAACCTCGAGGATATATAACAACTTCCCTGGATGCAGGTGAAGCACCGTCATCTCCCACAAACACAATAGCGACCTCCTCATGGGAAGGAAGATTGTATCAACGTCTATCATAACCTTCTTACAACAGAAGTTGGTCTCCCTTCTAAAGCTGCTCGGCGGATTTCTTTATCCTCTACTTCTGTCATGTTTTGAAATGCAAGAGCAAATGAGTTTTCTTGATTAATTAATGTTTGCAAAAGTTGCATTAACTCACGTATACAACCATCATTACCAGCTTGCTCCATTCTGAATGACACTGCTGTATTAGGATCATAGATATATAACTGACAATATTTGGGAAAATTCTGCAAGCCTCAAATTTCCAACACGATGCCATAGTTTGCACACAGACCCTAAATAGAAAGGGCCATTATTTGAGGGAGGAGCTAATTAATATATATATATATATATATATATATATATATATATATATATATATATATATATATATATATATATATATATATATATATATATATATATATATATATATATATATATATATATATATATATATATATATATATATATATATATATATATATATATATATATATATATATATATATATATATATATATATATATATATATATATATATATATATATATATACATTAAAATATATAAAATTAAAGTGTCTATACATATATTATATGTATATATCTTTAAAACAAATTTACTCAAAAAGTAACAGTTTCAAAATTGTTTAATGAAGTATAATATCTGTTCAATAAAAGTTACTTAAATTTATAAATATTAAGACTAATTACAAACAGATTTAATTTATGTATTTCTTCATAAGAGTACTGTTACTATTTTGCGTGTAACATCAATCTTGCTTCCAACAAAGCCAAGTCACATTATAGCAAAGTACACCACTTGGCTAGCAGAATCAGCACTCTTGCACTCTAAACTAAGCACTCAGCACTCTAAACTAAGCCAAGTCAGCACTCAGCACTCTAAACTAAGCCAAGTCAGCACTCAGCACTCTAAACTAAGCCCAGTCACAACAATTTGAAAAGATATTTACAAACACATAAATAATATTTACACACTTGCAAAATATAAACCCATATAACCTAAACACATAAACATAAATAACACATAAATATAAATTATTCTATATAAAAATATATAAATCAAGAAAAATATATAATTTAGAAACTTTACAAAAACAACCATATTTTTGTTTAATGACATACCTCGTATAACAAATGTTTAACAACTTGGAAAAACAAACGATCTGGTTTTTTATATAAAACAAACAAATTTTATTTTAACTTCTTTTAAGGTAAGGTAACTAACGTTGTTCTTTCTTGTTCTTTTTAACATTTAACTGTGTGAAATGCAATATCTATAAATATATATGTATATATATATATATATATATATATATATATATATATATATATATATATATATATATATATATATATATATATATATATATATATATACATATATATCAATATATATATATATATATATATATATATATATATATATATATATATATATATATATATACATATATATCAATATATATATATATATATATATATATATATATATATATATATATATACATATATATATATATATATATATATATATATATATATATATATATATATATATATATATATATATATATATATATATATATATATATATATATATATATATATATATAACACTAACTTCATCAAGAGTTAGACCTCTTGAAAAGAGCATTGTCTTTTAGAGTCACCATCGTCTTTTAAATAAAAAATTAAAATTATTACTAGTTATTACTTATTACTAATTAAGTTGATGAAGCAAAGTTTTTGATCTTATTACTGATTAAACAGATATTAACAGAAACAAGAGTACCTCACCGCGTGGTCAAAAAGAGAAATATCTAAAAGGCCAACCATGCTCATAAAACTCAGTGTAAAAACGCGCACGAATGGTGAGCATTTATCGGAAGCGTTAAGTTATTAATATTTATTGATTAAGTTATTATTTTATATTAAGTTATCATTTTATATTAAGTTGTCATTTTATATTAAGTTATTATTTTATATTAAGTTATTATTTTGTATTAAGTTATTATTTCATATTAAGTTGTTATTTTATATTAAGTTATCATTTTATATTAAGTTATCATTTTATATTAAGTACTTAGAACAAGTTTAAAATACATAAGCAAAGCATGCAGGGGTGAAATTTTAACTATTTTATAGATTATTTAAGGACTTTTAAAGATGTTTTTTTCCCAAGGTTATTTAAGCTTTTTAATTGGGAACCCTGAATATATACGACAATAATCAAACAACTACATATTGAAACTTTATTAGCAAATATTGTTGTAGTGGATTTGCAGTGGACCTATAAAGGCATTCTGACCAGTTAAATAGAGTTTAACTCAACATTTACTTAGTAAATTACTTAAGTGGCCAGCCGATAACACTCCAACAAGTAATATAGTGGTTACTTGTGTTATCCATTTTTGGCTGCTGCCACTAATGGTCCATTAAGTATATGAAGCAAATAATCAAAAATTCATTCATATAGAAAAAAATATCAACTCTTTTCTATTTTTAAACACGTTTTTTTATTCTAGTTTGAAGTTAGAAAAGTTACTAAAAAATAAATTTTATCAAATAATAAATATAATTATTGATTTTCATTATAATTAGTTATTTGGAATTTTTAAAGAACGAAAAATAAAATAGCGAAATTAATTACATTTATCTTCAAAAGATAATTTAAAGCAGATTTTGAAATGTCTGGTAAAACTAAAGCCTTAATTGTTTTGTGTGATTTTTTTTTGGAAAAGATTCAAATGAATTTAATTTAAAAAACTCAACGCGTCGTAACAGTTGACTTACATAAGAGATAGGAGTGTAAAAAATTTCCTTATTAAACACAATTATTCCTTCATAAGATTCATAAACGGAACATATTTCACAAAAGTTGTAACCATTATAAGATTTTATATAGTTTTTATTTATACTTTTTATTGTATAGAAAACCATTTTGTATTATTGACTTGACTCAAAGAAAAAAATTGGTATTTAGTTAGTGAATTAGGCTTGGTTTCACTTCAATAAATGCCAACTATAAAAATATTAAAATAATCAAAGCAAGCTAATATTGGCCACAATTATTTATTTGAGAATTTAAATATAGGTAAACCATTAATGATCAAATTCAAAAAAAATATGTTCTTAATCCTTGCCTGTATTTCAAAATAAGAGTAATTGTTACCGCACTTTTTAGGAACAGTTAAAAACTGTTTACCTCAAAGATTCAACAAAAATTTTAAAAACACCTCTAGGTATAACTTAGTTATACCTCTAGGTGTTTTCAAAAATTTCTTGCATCTTCGCGAAGTTTCAAATCTTGGATTTTTATTATTTCAAGAAATTCATTAACTAATATACTGGTCCGATTATTTTGAATAGCACAATCTGAAAATTGTCAATTAAAGATATTGAATTCTAGTAAATCATCAGGATAAACTCTCTGTATCCTTAATAAATTTTCCTTTTGAAAAAAATGATTCTGCATGATCTTCTGCAATGCCTAAAACTTTCAAAAATCAGAACATGGTTCTTGATATAGTATATCAAGTATATTATACTTCATATACTATATCAAGATTACAGGTCAGGTCAGGATAATCAAGAACAATCTTGCTATTGGTATAACGTAACCCAGTACCACCTGCCACAAGCCCTGCTGCCTTGCAGAGTGTGCTCTTCTTAGGCAAAGGCTAGGAGAAATAAACTCCGACTAAAAATTCCTCTGCCTTGGGGCTCTTGGTTGAGTAAAGGCTAGAGATGGTGTCTCAATAAAAACACTCATCTTGGGCAGATGTTAACTGCATCCAGCTAAACATTCCCTGCCTTGGGGCTCTTGGTTGATTAAAGGCTAGAGATAGTGTCTTGATAAAAATACTCATCTTGGGCAGATGTTAACTCCATCCAGCTACTGTCTTGTAGAAGGCCTCCTAGGCAAAGACGTTATGGGTAAGCAGAAAAATTCAGCTAACCAGCATCGAACCCCTCCTTCATCTATTAGGCTAGCGTAGATGTAACCTGTGTTACATTGTTTCCTGCCTAGGAAAATGAATGATGGATCTCCTTGACTCTACTCGTAGAATTTTGCTTATGCCTGGCTATGCAGCTGTTCCTGTTATCTCCATATGAGGGTACAGCTCTAAAACTCAGTTTAATGGTTCTGAGGACCGGCTGGTAGTAAGGTTTCCCGAACTCTGTGGTAGCTCTCAGAGAGGCTGATTCCATCAACAACTGCAAAATATCAGATTATTAACAGTGCTATGTTGCGCATGGATGGTGTCACTGTTAATGCTTTTGGTGTGCATTGTCAAGGCCACATAAGGAGCCCTATGTCACAGCTTAGGGTTACTTAACAGGACTGAGACAACTGCATTGCTCATTTATTAGGAGGCTGTGCTCTATCTATGAATGAGTCAATTTCTCATTAAACCCAAATCATGATCAAAGTAACCAAAAATTTTAAACCTAAAAAACCATCCCCACAACCAAAATGTTTTAATATATCTTTTACAAATATTCGCGGTCTGCGAAGCAACTTTCCGTCAGTTGAGTCTTACCTCCTGCAAAATTCATCAGAATTGCATGCACTCAGGGAAACAAATTTAAATTTTGCAATTCCTTCTTCAGATGTCAGTGTTGATGGGTACAATCCTTTGATTCGTAAAGACACCAATAGTCACATGCTAGGTTTAGGGGTATAAATACGCATTAATTCCCCTATTTGTCGTGAAATCAGGTTCAAATTCTTTGACCCTTCTTTTATGTGCTTTCTCCTAGCACCTCTTCACTCTATCACCTTTCTTTTTGTTCTTTACCGTTCTCCTTCTTCCCATGATTGCACTCTTTTAGATATTATCTCTGTTCAAATTGACCATGTCCTCTCTCTTTACCCCTCTGCCAATATTGTTGTAGTTGGTGATTTTAATGCTTACCACACTGAATGGCTTGGCTCTAACACCACTGATCCTGCTGGCACTAAAGCCTTTAACTTCTGAGTTTCTCAATCTCTTACTCAGATAGTTAACTTTGTGACTCGTTTTCCTGACAACCCTAATCATTTACCTTCACTCCTTGACTTATGTCTTGTCTCTGAACCTAGCTTATGTTCAGTTTCTCCCTTTTCTCCCTTAAGTGATTCTGACCATGCAATGATCTCTATAAATCTTTCTTTTCGTACTTCTTTTTTAGGCTTACCTTATCATCGCACCACCTACTACTACCCTAAAGCTGACTGAGATTCTTTTCGTGATTATCTTCGTGACGGTCCTTGGGCTGATGTTTTTTCTCTCTCAGCTGATAAATGCGCCTCCTCCGTAACCTCCTGGATCCAGGCTGGAATGGAAGCTTTTATTCCTTCTCGTTGGTTTCAAGTCAAGCCTCATTCTACTCCATGATTTTCTCCTTCTTGAGCGGCTGCTATATCCAATCGTAATCATTTTTTTTTATCTATTCAAAAGAACAACTCTCTTGAGAGCAAACGGCTATTTATTATTGCAAGAAATCGATGTAAAAAGGTGCTTTCTGATGCTAATATCCATTATTCTCAGTTCACTAAATCTCGCATCTTATCGCAGAAGTTAGGCTCTAAAGACTTTTGGAAAATCTTCAACAGCATTGTTAACAAGGGTAGATCTAACATTCCATCTCTCATTCATGGGACTGATCTTATTTCCTCTCCCAGGGATAAGGCAGAACTGTTTGCAAAGAACTTTTCTTCTAATTCCACTCTTGAATCTTATGGACATTCTCTTCCTTCCATTCCAGTCAAACAGGTTGACCCATTGTTAGGAATTCAAATCACTCCGGCTTCTGTTGCTAAAGTCATATCTCAATTAAACTCGTCTACAGCTTGTGGTCCAGACAACATTTCTGTCACAGTCTTGCAGAATTGTTCTCCAGAACTTTCTTCAATTTTTTAAACTATTTAACAAGTGTTTGCCTGAGTCTTGTTTCTCTGCTTGTTGGAAAATGGCATCTGTGGTTCCAATATTCAAAAACTCTAGAGAAATTTAATACCCCTCCATTTATTGTCCCATCAGTATTCTTTCTGTTATTAGCAATGTCTTCAAGTCTTTGATCAACAAATTCCTAACATCTCATCTTGAGTCAAATGAACTGCTGTCAGACAATCAATACGGTTTTCGATCCTCTCGCTCTACGGCCGACTTGCTAGCTGCTGTAACTGAAAGATTTTATTGTGCATTAGATGGAGGCGGTGAGACTAGGGCAATTGCTCTCGACATATCTAAAGCTTTCGACAAAGTTTGACATGCTGGTCTTCTCCATAAGCTTGCTTCGTATGGTGTTTCTGGGAAAGTTTTTTAGATTATCAAATCATTTCTTTCTAACCGGTTTATTAAAGTCATCCTTAAAAGCCAACACTCTTATTTGTTTCCAGTAACTTCTGGTGTTCCCCAAGGTTCCATCCTGGGCCCTGTTTTGTTTCTTATTTACATAAACAATCTTCCTGACAACCTTTCATCTAAAGTAGCTTTTTTAGCTGATGACTCAACTTTATACTCCTGTCTTGACAAAAAGTCTTCTCTTTTCGATCGCCTAGAACAAGCAGCTGATCTTGAATCCGATCTCAATTCAGTAATAGATTGGGGTTCACAGTGGTTTGTGAATTTCAACTCTAACAAAACCCAGTTGTTTGCTGCAAACAACTACCGTAATATGGTCAACATTCCTATATTAATGAATGGCAATCCTCCTACTGAGTCCTCCTCTTTACGTCTTCTTGGATCATCGCTTACTACTGACCTTTCATGGAAACCATATATTCAATCGATTGCTAAATTAGCTTCTGCTAAGGTTGCTTCTCTTTATTGTGCTGGCCATTTCCTTACTTCTGATTTCATTCTCTACCTCTACAAATTTCTTATTCGTCCCTGTATGGAATACTGTTGTCATATTTGGGCTGGTTCTTCTAACGATTCACTTTCTCTTCTTGACAAGTTCCAAAAACGCATTGTAAATGTTGTTGGACCTGGACTATCTGCTAAGCTTGAGCCTCTTTCCTATCGTCGTATAGTTGCATCTCTTTCTCTTTTCTACAAATACTGTCATGGTCACTGCTCAAAGGAGTTATCATCTCTTGTTCCATCAACTAAAATTCATTCTCGTTTTACTCGTCATTCAGCTAAGTCTCATTCGTTTACTGTATCTGTCCCTGCATGCTCTAAAAACTTTTATTCATCTAGTTTTTTTCCCTGCACTTCAATCCTTTGGAATTCTCTCCCATCTTAATGTTTTTCTGACTCATACAACCTTCAACTTTTTAAGTCTTCTGTCAACCGTTTCCTTGCTCTATAACTTCGTTCCTTTTTTTTCCTAGTAACTCTCAACTTAATAGTGGTTGCTTGCAGCCTTGTTGGGAGTAAATGCAAATAAAATTAAAAAAAAAGAACCAGGTATATACTTAATATATATAGTATATAACTCAGTTTTAAACTATTTCTTTCAATATCTGTATCAATTCTGTATCAATATTAACACGATTCTTAAGTAATTAAATATATATATATATATATATATATATATATATATATATATATATATATATATATATATATATATATATATATATTATATATATATATATATATATATATATATATATATATCAAATATATATCAATACATCAAAGAGTCATCTATAAAATATCAGTTATCACATATAAATTTTATTATCAAAATCTCCTGCATATTTATTTGAACTCCTAGAAGTCTGAAATTCAAAACAAAATACAAGACCATTTGGCAGCTGCTAACTTTCACGTCGTCAACAAAAAACCTTCCTGGGTTCAATATCTTTTTCTATGACTGCACCTCGAATTTGGAATGGTTTATCTTTGAACACACGAAACTCAACTTCTATAGAAACATTCAAAAAAAGACTAAAATATGAACTCTTTATGAACTCTTCTTCAGACTCATAGTTTACTTGTTTAGTGCTTCTGAATTACTTCATCACTATTGTGATTGTTGTAAATAATGGCACTTTAATCTCTAATTATTATTATGATATGTAAGTATAAATATATATATATATATATATATATATATATATATATATATATATATATATATATATATATATATATATATATATTTATATATATATATATAAATTAGCAAGTACCTGTCTATTAGTCACTCTTCATTCATTATTTCGAGATGCCAAGGAAAACTCTTTTTACACTTGAAAGTTCTTTTACACTTGAAAGTTTCTTCTACATTTGTATTAAAAATGAGTTTTTAATTAACAATAATAAATATGTCTTGATGATTGCGTGATTAACTAAATTAATTTTGATTCAATAAAGCATTCTGCATCTTTTTTGGACGAAAAATTTATTGGACGCGAAAAAGACGTTCAAAAGACGTTTAGAATTTAAATGGGACGTACGGACGCTAATTGAACGTCTTTTTTACGTCCCGTGCCCACTGGGTAACCATATATATATATATATATATATATATATATATATATATATATATATATATATATATATATATATATATATATATATATATATATATATAATATATATATATATATATATATATATATATATATATATATATATATATATATATATATATATATATATATATATATATATATATATATATATATATATATATATATATATATATATATATATATATATATATATATATATATATATATATATATTTATCGTCCATTATAATATAGTAAACAGAGTTTCATCATTTAAATTTTTAGGAATAATATTTGATGAACATCTTAATTGGAAAAATCATATTACGCTAATTGAAAACAAAATTTCTAAAACTATAGGCATTATGTATAAAACAAAACACCTACTTATTAAAAAATGTTTAATAGATTTATATTATTGGTTTATCCATAGCTATATTAACTAATGTAATATTGCTTGGGCAAGTACTTACCCTTCAGCATTGAAAAATATATATATTAAACAAAAACAAGCCAGTAGAGTTATATTTAATGTGCATAAATCCAAGCTGTTACTCCGGGAACTTAAAGCTTTTAATGTCTATGAGTTAAACGTGTTCCAAAACTTGTTATTCATGTTTAAATATCAAAACGACATACTTCCGAAATCCTTTAATAACCGATATGTTAAATTGATCATAAATACCTAACAAGGTGCTCTACCTATAATTTTAAATTACCTAAGTTAACTCTTAAAATATCTGATTACTCAATTTCATATAGAGGCCCTTGCCTGTGAAACATTGTTTTTAATGAAAATATGAAAAGTATAACTTCAGTAAATTGTTTTAAAAATATAGTTAAACAGTATTTACTTGAATTAACAGACGCAAACATATTTTTGCATTTTTAAATTAAAAAAAAAAATCATTTATAATATTTCTTAATATATCTGATTATTTATCTTTTGCAATTTATGGTATTCTTGTTGTAATAATGTGTTAACTTATTTTTATATAACGAGTATTTGTAAATTTGTATGATGAGAAATTTTTTAAAAGTAGTTTACGCCTATCATAGGGGCTTGATGACAAGACTTCTGTCTTTTATTTGCTCCTGTCGTTATTATTTTTTATTTAAATTTTATTGATGAAAATTGTAAAACAAGAACGTTGTAAAATGTTAATAAATAACGAGTTATATATAATAAAAAAAATAATAAAAAAAAAAAATCTATTTAATGAAGTAATTGGGTTATAGATGGAACATCAATCCACTCAATAATTAATATGGTTGAGATTACTCACAACTAAAATACAAATACTTATTTACAAATTCATCTATGATCTTGCCCCATTAAAAATTTGCTTGTTACCCATATATCCTCTTCTTTCGACCCTACCAGTTTAACCACTTCCCTTCCTTAATTATAATAGTTTATTTTAATAATCAACAACTTTAAAAAGTATACAATTATCCAAATTTTTTGAGCTATGCAAATAATTTGCACTACTTTTTTAACTAAGATTTAGCTATGAAAATGTGCGGCATCAGGAATTGTTATACTGTCAGTCATCGCACATCTGTAACAAAAATATTATACTATAAAAATATACTTTAAAGAGTTCATCTTGTGTAATCATTTGTTATTCTCTTTTAATTGAGTAAAATTCTCATCAATCCGATTATTGAATATGTTAACCAAAGGTTTCATCGATTACTGTTTGAGGCAGAGTATTAGACTGGGACACAATAGGATGCATAATGAATTTCTCTCCATACTGGAAAAAACTTCTGCTATTGTTTTCTTTATTGGCATTTTTTATTAAAATATGTAAAAAGCATTTTTAGGTGTTTTGAAAAAAAAGCTATAAACAAACATTAAGATTGCAAAGTATAATCATTTAATTTTGAAATATTTTATCTATGTTATTAGTTTCATATCTATTATCATTTCACTAATTGATGGCTTCAATTAGTGAAATGATAATTCAATAAAGGTACTAATTTTGTTACACTTTAATTGAAATTTTTTTTCACTTTTTTTATTAATTCACTAATAGCTGCATGGACGCTCACTAAATATTTTCAAAACCTGGCAATCTCAACTAAAGTTTTAAAAAGACTTAATAAAAAAGTCGTCAACGTCGATTCCATACAAATATATTAACTAGATTTTGCATAAATTAAGTCTTGTTACTGTTTACGCTAACATGGTATTCACTAAATAAACAATTAGAAAGACATTCGTTACATCGGTAGGCTTGTCAAACTTGTTTCCATTACCTTTACCTTCCTTAAACATCTCCAAAACTAAAATTATACCATAGAGGCACAGACGTCAGTGAGACGTCTAAACGACTAAGACGAAAACGATGGGCATTTTATTGAGTTTTAACATCTTATAGACGTTAAAACTCAATAAAATGCCCATCAGATATCTAGCGGACATTCTGTGCTGCGTTAGAAAATCGCAAACAATGGTATAAATAAAGGCTCTAAATACAGTATCTAAATACAAACTTAAATAGGAATAGGTGCAATTTAGTTTAGGTTGTCAGTCTCGCAAATAAAAAAACATTAGGACAATGACGGAATAAGATTTTGACAATGATGCTTATTTACAGTAATGGTAAGGTGAAGACACAACTTTAAACATCCGATAATAAAAAATAAACTTTTTAATGAGCATCTTGTTGCAGGTAGAGACAAAATGTAGAACATGAAAAACATGAAAATGAAATATATCTTTGTTAGACAACAAATTGATCAATGGTATACAGTAGAGATATAAATAGGTTGTGTCACAGATATTTTAGACTCAACCCATCACAAAACCTATTTAGTTTTCATATCAGATAAGGTCGGGCAAATGCATCTTTTTTTCGAACAATTCTTTATATAAAATTAGACTTGTTCTATGGAAACTAGTGTGTTAAGATATAAAACTAAACTCAAAACATTTTCTTTCATAAGGTGAATACCGTATCTAAGCAAACACATTTTGATATTAATAAAGTAATAAACCCAGTTACAAACAAAATACTTATTCTAAAATTTTTCTCAGTTAACTAGTATAATAAAATGATGCATACAAAAAATAAAAAAAATTTCAAACTTTTAAACTAAACTCAACATTTCTATAGTAATTAATAATCAACTTTTGCAAAGCAATTTAATATTTTTTAAAACAATTTTTCTTACGTATAGAGCTTTTGTTTCTTTTTTCCTTAGCGAATATTCATCTTACGTGTGAAGCTGTAGTGAACATTTGTGTTTTTTTATTGGACTCATCTGGTAGTTTGAGAAAATATTACCAAAATGAAAAAGACTTTTTAAAGTCTGTAATTTCTGTTTTCGGTGTAAGCTTCAATGGTACAAGAGCCGCAGTGATTACATTTAGTTATCATGCTCAACTCAGTATAAAGCTAAACAAGTATAGCAACTTGAACAGCTTCAAGAAAGCAGTTGATAATATTGTGCTGATGGGTTCCACAACGAGAATAGACAAAGCCCTTCGTCTGGCTCAGAAAGAAGTGTTTGAACTAGAGAACGGTGCTAGACCTGGAGTTGCAAAAATTCTCTTTTTATTAACAGATGGCTCCCAAACCAAGGAACGCGGTTCGGAAAATCCAGTTGTTATTGCAAATAAGTTGCGCTCAACTGGTGTTACCATTATTGCCATAGGTATTACAAATGCTGTTATTGTAAGTGAGTTGTCTGATATTGCTGAAGAAAAAGAAAACGCTTATGTTGCCGATTCGTTTGCAAAACTTAAAGACATTAGTTTTTTACGTGTCATTAAAAATAAGTTGTGTGAACAGGTTAGTCATAAAGATGGAAAAATGTTTAATTAAAATATATTTAATCACCATCAGTTGTTTTTTTAGTTTGTTTGTAATTTATAAAACAAAAAATATTTAATTTAATTTTTGACTATACTTTTTCCTTTTTTTTTTCAAAAAAACTTTCAAAAATATTTCCCTTTATAAATATTATGTGTTTTTGAATAGATTTGAATACATTCTAATGATGATTTAAATTAAGTGAATAACATGTTTATTTCAACTGATAGCAAACGCTTTTTCAGCAAATGTTACTTCAGCAAACGTTATTTGTAATGTTAAAACAATTGTTTTATGTTTTTTTTTTTTTTTCAAAATTTTATTTTATTTTTTTTTTTTATATTTAAAAAAAAATTTTTTTTAAACTTTGTTTAAAAAAAGTTTTCTTTATAAATATATTCAATCAGTTTTATTTGTAGCGTGTTTTTGAACAGTATTTAATAGCTCTTGATACTGGTTTGAGTTGAGTGCTAAAATAACATGTTTATTTCTACTAGCAAACGTTACTTCGTTCATCACTTTTACGACAAGTGTCCCAAGTAAACTTATTTTAAACTATTCATGATTATGTTTTTTCAAACTCTACTGCTGAACTTGTTACTAAGACCATTTACTTTAGTTTTAATGAGCGATTTTTTCTTTGTTTTTGTTTTTCATTAGATTAAATAAGTTGTTTTGCATATAAATTCATTGTTGAAAAGAATTATAGTAAATATTCATCATTTGCTTTACCATTTAATTATTCAGCGTCAACCAGCTCGTCATCTTTAACGGCTTCAAGTACAACTGCAGAACCCTCCACGTCCACGCAATCTTTAGAAGCTGGTATGTACCTAAAAACTTTTTTATAAATTTATATTAGATTTTGTTTTTATTAAAATAGTTTTAAGAAAACTATTTTAATAAAAACAAAATAACTTTTTCCTTAAAATAATTTTTTTTGTTCTACTTCATTCGTAACAACATTGCCAGATTAAGTAATTGCCAGACCAGACTAAACCGTTATAATTTGTTTAAATTTAATAAAGAACTTTTGACTAGTACGGATACTTTTAATTTCATATTTGAATTAAAATGTCGACAGTTGAGTTAAACCATAGTCATAAAAAGTATAGTCTGGACATGCTGGCAGTTTTTAATTGTTTTTATTGTTTGAAAACAATTAGAAAGAGTGCTGCTACATCAACTATCTTGAAGCCTGCTGCTACAAGGAAGTACTGCTATATTGACTGAGGGTTTGGCATGGGGTAGCAATCTTTGTTCTTTTATTATTTCAATTATATTCCTATTGTTTGTAAAGCCTCTACTGACAAACGGAAAAATAAAATTATTTTAGGCCACGTAACTGTAGCGATTTCAATATTTGAGGCAATATTTATTTTTATTACTGCTGAAATACATAGTGCCTCAAATACATTACATAATTTTAAAAAACTTTATTTTTGAATAATAATAGGGCCTGCTAATTTTTGTAATTATAGTTGCGGGCGGAAGACATTGTTCAATCCATAAAAGTAAATACTTTCCTAAATTAGTACATAAAAAAACAACTTTCTAGCAATGTTGAGAGCCTGTAACAAGAAAAAAAAAATTTATGACCTACCCTTATATATATATATATATATATATATATATATATATATATATATATATATATATATATATATATATATATATATATATATATATATATATATATATATATATATATATATATATATATATATATATATATATATATATATATATATATATATATATATAAGATATGTTAAATTATCAAATAAGAGTTTTGCTTTACAAAACATTTTATTAATTGGGAGTTGAAATCAAAAGACGAAATATACAAGCATTTCATTTTTTGGGGATTGGAAACTTTACATAGTTAATAGTTTTTGGATAACATTTGGAGCCAACATTTTAGGGTTTTTATTACCATTAAAAGTTTTTTTGGAAACTTTCTCATTAATTTTGAGCATATTGAGTCTGTTTATTAAATTTTTTTTATTTAATAAAATTAATAAATTAAAAAATCTTTCTGTTTAATAAATTTTGCTTGTTATCAACGACGAAACTATATCTTAAAACTAAAAAAAATCTTAAAACTTTTTTTTGTAAAAATTATAAAACATAAGTGCACTAATAAAAATAAAAAGTTCCACCTACCCGTTTGTTAAGTCTCCCTATCCAGTTAGAAATTAATAAACAAGAGTTTTAATTTAGCACCTCAGATAACTTTTGATCAATATTTTTGAGAGTTATAAAATAAGCAAATATCAGAGAGGATTAAGGTTTGATTTTCTCAAAAATTTTAGTTTTTGTTTGCTTTTTTTTAATTTACATTTATTAACTTAAAATTTAACTACAAATTGCTTATTTAAAACCGTAAATCTTTATGAATTAAAATATTGAAATAATTAGATTGTAAAATATTTTACATATATATTGAACTTTTCTAGAAATTAATATCTCGCTTAAGCATGCAAATCTTTTTTATCATTTTTTGAGTCACCTTTTCCCTTGTAATCAAGTTTAATCATTCAGTAGACTCACTTCAATTATCAACTCCAATTATCAACTTCAATTATCAACTCCAATTCTCTTATTTCGATACAAATAGAGATCAGGGGCGGGTCCAGCATTTTTTGGTTTTTGAGGGAACTAAATTCAAGATATGGAGCAAACTCTAAACATTTGTTGATACTTATGTCAAATATTTGAAATATATATACGGGCATATGTTTTTAAAAGTTACGTTCTAAATGTCTTTTAAACGTTTTTTAAACGTTTTTTAAGCAACAAGTTGGCAAAATAATTTTTGTACTATTCTTAACTAGATTTATATTTATCAATAAATTTTTAATTTCATACTAAAATATTTTAGCGTTCAAATGTAAAGAACTTTTAAAGTTTGAGGGAGTTAAATTTAACGGGTTTACAAATTTATAAAGTCATAATTTTTGAACATTAAGAGATTTAACTATAAAACTTAAAAATTATTGATCAAGAATTCTAGTTGAGAATATGACAAAAATATTTTATCAACTTTCTTGCTCCCACATTGGGTCAGGGGGGTGAAAACTTTAGAGCTTTTTTGTTCCCAGGTTCCAATCATTGCTATTTTTTGCAAAGCATACTTAATTTGACGTAAGTATAAACATATAAATATTTATAGTTAGCTTTATGTGTCAAGTCTTTATGTTATAGTCTTTATGTCATCCTTATGTCAAGTCTTTATGTCAAGTCTTTATGTCATGTTAAATTGACGTAAGTATAAACATATAAATGTTTATAGTTAGCTTTATGTCAAGAACAAAAAGAAACCGCCCCTATAACCGCCCCTGATATAGATTGAAAAAAGTTTATAGTAGTCTACATTTTATGAAAGCAGCTAAAAAAATTCAATGTTTGCTTTCAAAATAATGCTTAACAAGTGACGTTTTTTCACACTAGTATTTTGTTTTAACTAAAGATTTTAAGCAACTATATAAATAAAACTGTGGCTATTATCTGTTAAAAATTCTTAATTTCGTTAATAATTATGATTTGAACATTTTAAAGGATATAATAATTAACTATTTTATATAGTTAATAATTATGAAATTTAAGCCTTAAATTGTCTAATACACTATATTGTAGCTTATGTTGTCAATTTATTCATGCAAAAAAAGAAAAGAAATTATATATAACTAATACCTAGTATAATGTTACTTAAATGTATTAATCTTTTGTTGATTAAATAAATCATTATTGGGTCATAAAGTATCTGTTCATTTAGCAAATAATTTGTTTTAACAGTTTATGATTATGAAAAAATCCGTTTAAATCGACATCCGCAATAGGTGTCGATGAAGCCTAATGTAAAAAGGTGTAATTAACAGAAAAAACAACAACAATTAATTAGTTAATGAAAAAGCTTTAGATTTTGCCATCTATACAAAGATTAAGAAGTAGTAATTTTTAAACTTACAAACTGTGGAGAATGTAGATGCAACTAATATCACGAAAATTTGCAATACATAAATAAACAAAAAAAGTTGAAAATGGGTTTAAATCAATATACTTATGAAAAAAAATTGACTTTTAAACTTACGGACTGTATCATGTAGTTGGAACTAAAAACTGTAGTTAGTAGTAGTGGAACTAAAAACTGTAGTTAGTAATAGACTGTAGGTGGAACTAAAAACAAAATGGATTTTATCAAAAAAATAATAATATTGGCTTTAAATCATTCACAAGTTATTATTATTATTATTATTATATTTTCTTTGCCGTATAATTAAATTTACAATGAGAAAAAACCATTCATGTATAAAAATTGGCCGGAGCAAGATGAAGACATAAACTGTCTTATCGCCAAGCCCCGTTTACATTAACGTCACAAAGTTACAAGTTAAAAACTAAAAGGTTTAAAATTGAAGTACAATACAATATTAGTTCGACAAATATAAGGCACAAGTAATAAATCGAATAAATGTTATTTGTCTGTTCAAAATTAATAGTATATATATTTTTTATTTTAATAAGAAATAAACAAGATACACAAGACAATAGTAAATGAGTAGTGATGACTTTTTCAGGTTTAATTATTTTAGGTGATTTTAGAAGAAATCTTTAAAATCGAAAGTTTTTTCTAATAGAAAACGTTTAGATTCTCTTTTGAATTGTTCTAAGGAGATGCCTCGAAAAATTTTATTTTTAATTATATTTTTTAAAAAACCTTTCCATATAAATGGTCCCCGGTATTGAATTTGAAATGAATTGAGTTTTAAATAAGATCTTGGAATAACAAAATTATCAGATAAAAATTTAGTGGGATATTTATGAGATATTTCGGTAAAGTAAGACTGAAATATATTACGAGATAACGAGTGTTTTGTTTTAAACGTAAATAGCATAACTTGGTATATATTAAGTTTGTAAATATTAGGCACATTAAGTTTCTTTAAAAGAGATTCACCATTAACAGTTCTGTTAACGCCAAAAATAATCCTACAAGCATGTTTTTGTTT